CTTAGAGAGTAGAGATGAAATAATAGAGATTTTGTACAAAACTTGGCATATTTTGTAATGGTGTCCATCGGTGTGACAGAATGTCCTGTGGTGCGACAAAAAGAAAAGTAAAGAAAATAGGCATTTTGGTTCTCAAATGCCTGAGAAAAGTGTTGAATAGAAGAAGAGTAATAGCATCACTATGGATATGTAAAGATAGTTTTTAGTTCAATCAGGTTTCATACTTATTATAATGAAAATAACCCAAACTTTTATGAAAAGTCCCTATGTGTAGATCATTTAGTAGGGCAATAACATGATTATAAATTTAAATTGATTACTATGGTTGTAGGGGCATATTTAAAACAAGTTGATAATGGTTGAGCATATATTTATTCTCTGTCTGACAATCTCTGAATTCAATATTATCATTAAACATAATGTCACACCAGGAGACAATTATTAGGACTTCTGCACAGAAAAGTTCATATTATATCAAATAATTAAGGAAATAGATTGGGTCTCACAAAGTTTTGAGTTATTCACGTATTAAGTCATTCAGTGATATGTAATTTGAGTAACATTTCAGAAAAAAATATAATTTTACTTTTGCTTTCAGTCCACGTCAACTACCCGGGTACAACGGAGCTGATCCAGATTTGCGTCCGATATGACATCAAATCGGAAATGTGGACCCACGGCCCTATCAGAAAGTTGCTATCAGAAACAATGCCCGACTGTTTTGGACGTAATATGGTCGGTGTTTACATTAGCATCGCTAACACTCAGAGCTAACATGTACTGGAGAGCATGTGTGTGAAGAAGCAGGAAATAAAAAGGAACTCACCTTGTGGTATAACCGGCAAGAGAGAAAGCCTTTGAGCTCCATACTGTTTCAGAAATAATCCTTGATAATCCATGATATGGCGTTTCATCACCGCAGTATTTAGTTTAGACAGTAGCTGCCGGGTCCCGCATGAGCTCAGCCCCCTCCTTTCTTATTTTTAACAATCTTTTAATTTTTTAAAGCTTTATACCCAAAATCAACACTTTTGAAACAGGAAGTGAAACAGAGGGATATGAGGCATGGCTAGAATGGGTGATCTGTTTGGTATTTTGAGCAAAACACTTCATAGACATGTTTTTTATATATCTGAGACCTATGCTATTGTCTAACAATAGCATGATATGTCCACTTTAACTTGTTTTTTGCGGTTGAGAGACACAAAGTGCACCATACCTGTAAGAATGGTGGGATTTATGGAGAATTCATTATAATGCATTTCCATACATCATCAGTGGCTTTGTTGAAGGTTGTTATCAGTGATGGCCAATCCAATGAGCACCTTTAAAAATAAGTAGTATGATACCCCTACAGCTTTTGATTCACTGAGGACAAACTAAATACATTCAAAATATATAGTATCTTTAAGACAACGACCAATTCAATAGTTTACACAACAATAACAGACGGATTAAATGGAGTGGGCAACTTCATTCCAGTTTGAGGTTACTCCATTCTTTTTCCAACGGCTCCCTCTCATACAGATAAGCCCATAATAATACTATATTTAGAAACACACTAATGGTTGTCTCAGAGCAAATTGAAATTCAGTTAGAGCCAATGAAACCCCAATTATCCCCCGGGCATGACAAAAACAAATCTATAAAAAAAAAGCACGGAAGGTTAATACGTGAGAATCTGCTGGCAGTGTGGGATATTAAATTCCCTCTATCTATAAGTCATTTAATTTTCTTGTTTAACCTAACTGGTGCAGTGACTTTTGCGATGTGTTGTGCCACTACCTCTTGGTTTCCGTTGTGAGCCTATGCATGCATTTACTGACTGACATGGAGACGTCTTCATTTAAAGGGAGATGCACTTTTTTGTAACCTGTAACTTAACGGTATGGATAAACGTGCAAAGTTTTTAAAACACAAACATACCTCATTGTAATGGCACTTATATGAGCCCTATTTGGGAAAGTAAACATACGTCTCATAGCTGCTGTCAGCAGACATGGCCGTGCTGTTGTGTGGATTATGATTCACGTCTATTTGCTCTTTCACAGCTAAATTCAGGCACTAGCTAAAGCCCAGCTGGGTGGAATAGGTTAACACAGTTTTTTACAGATCTGCTAATCCTAACAACTTCACACGTGGCACTGCACACCCTCCAGTCCTCGTCAACGGGCAAGCCAAGCATGAAATAAATCAGTCCAAGGGTTGGCAAGAAAATACAAACACACACAAACACTCAGACTTCTGTCTTAATGCTACGACTTTTCATTTGTATTGTCTACTCTTGGTGGGGGAGACGTGCTTCTCTTAACAGTCTTATGCATTGACATGAACAATTGTTACTTATTTGTTGTGGCTTATACATTCAGTTATTAGTACAATTTATCTTCCAGTACCTCAACACTCAAGCAAGAAATTAACCAGTTTTCGTGTGATATGAAAGAAACCCTGAATTAGTGGAGTATGGTAATGTTTGCTACTATCCTTACTGTCACGTCTCTAGGCTTCTTGCTTGAATGCAAGTCTCCTGGGACTGTAGTGCGTTGAGGAAGAATGAACCCAACAGATGAAAACCTCAGGCTACAAATGTAAGTTCATTACTATTCTGATACACGCAGTTCTTCTGTTCAACCCCTCACTTCAACTTATACTTTTCCATGTCTCTCCCTTCAGCATGCTGTTGCATTCATTGATGGACCGTCTCATAATGAGAGACGGTCTCATAATGAGACGGTCCATCTCACGTATAATTCCTTAGTATCAATAATTCAATGTCTTTCAACCTTGGCCTGATTCACATATCATTCTCATTTATAGCAGCAACAGCCAGCTGTTCTAATAAAGTCTGTTTAACTTGCTGTACTCTACATTTGCAGCACAAAACAGCAGACCATTCTTTTATAAACAGGTGAAGAAATGAGTTCCATATCCAGCAAACTAAAGACCATGGTATTGTTGACTCACTATTGCCTCTAAAGGAACAACAAACAAAAATGTGTATGGTCAGGACAAGAGGAAGTATCACTTATTTTTCTGTAAAAGAAAGGAACCTTTGCATTACATTACTGGGAAATAAATCCCGTATTTTCTTCCAAAATGCTTAACTTTTACTTCCTTGTTCCTCCCAGTCTTGTGTTTAAGTAGCAAATCGTACTTACCGGATTCATACAATGTTTTTTCTCTCCATACAATTACATCTTTCTCGATGATAGACTGCAAACTAAGTACCATGAGGATTTCTCAAGTCCACTCTGACTAACAGGAAGTGATCAGAGAGGGGTATATGTTAGCACTGAACCCAAAGCAGAAAGATATTAACACTCTATATTTAAGTACGTGATTAAATATTGCAAGTGATATCGTCATCACAATGAACAGCTTTATCCCATATTGCATGTTTTTCTTATATCATGTAGCCCTACAAGGCAGCTGTCACGGCTGGAGGGCAAGGTACACAGGACCCAAATGCAGAATATTGTTTGAAATCCAAAATACTTTTATTGCGGAACTAGGCCAGGCAACAAAGTCAAATAAGGCAAGGCAAAACATAAAAATCCCTCAGAACAAAATCCTTCCAACAACATCAATAATCTCACAACGACAGACAGAAAAACCAGAACTTAAATGCACACAAGACTAATCACACAAACAAGACACAGGTGAGGAGGGAGGAGAAAACACAGGGACACCAGGTGAACACAATCAGGTAATCAGGTAGGAGGGAACACACAGACAGGAAGCAACAGGCAAGACAGGGGGGGGAACACTTTTCAAAAATAAAAACAGGAAACCAAAGACAGATCTAGACAAGACAAAACACAACACAGACAGATCGTGACAGCAGCAGTGTTTATGTGGGACATAAGGTGCTGCTGTGATGGCGTTACAGACTCACATTGAGACATGAATCATATCGATAATTCACTTCCACTTCTTCAACCATCCCCTTATACTAGTCATCATTATAATCTCCACTCTAGCTCCATCTGATTGACACAACATCTCCTGTAATGGATTACTTCACCACTACAGAACAGCTTTAAGAGCAGCAAAATTACATCTGCTCATGATCACGATTCCATTAAGTTTGGAAGTCAAAACGTCAGTTTTAGTGTTATCGATTAGAGGTGGCATGAATCAGAGAGATAAAGAGAAAGTATAAATGGTTTTGGGAAGGTTACAGTATTTCGCTCCGTCACCATTTGGTAATGAAGTTTCTAAAATAATGGTTTTGTTACAGTCAAAGTCTGAGTTCGGATAATAATACAAAAATGCATTTGCCTTGAAGTCAGAATTACGGGCAACCCTAAAATCCTAATATTTTAGATATAATTACAATAAGGTGATTATTTTTTATATCTTTGTCTACTAAAACTACCTGCTAGAAAGACAGTGACGTTACATCATCAGGGCTCAGATGGTGCTGCAATGGCCCTTTGTATCTTGTTATTCACTTTACCAGAAGTTACCCACAGCCAATCAGCGCGTCATAGCAATTTTGACGTTCCTGACAAGCCCAGAAGGAAGTGCCACAAACCGCAGTTCATCCAATGGCAGACAGGAGATGGATGCAGAAAGGAGCAATTTCCATAGACCCCCATGTTCAAATACCCAACTTTACAGCAGAAATACACATGTTTCTAGCCTGGATCCAATAAAACTTATTCTGGATATAGTTAGATTCCACCTTCATGACAATGGATTAGGGCAGAGGTGCCCAGTACGTCGACCGCGGTCGACCGGTTGACGGGGGGGCAATGCTGGTAGATCGCGAGTCATTCATAAAAAAAAAAAATCCAGCTCCGTTAAAATAGACAAAACAGGTTTTGATCCCGCCTCCCTGACGAGATGGGTCTGGATCATGGTCTGGATGCAGACCGCAGCAAGAAGGCGGATCCTATAGGGGCGGATCCTATAGGGGGCGTTTCCTAACTTTTTTTATCCAATAGAATAATGACACTCAGCAGAAATACATACTGTCGGTGGCAGTAATGCAATTTAAGGGATTCTAGCTGCTTTTATAAATCCTCGCAGAAGAAGTCATTCGTTCTTTCAAGATGGCCGAACAACAAGTTGAAACAGCGGTTTGATTGATTGATTGATTGATTGAAAAGTTTATTAACAGCTTGTATATTGGGTACAGTACAGTACAGCTCAAAACATACAATTGTTAAGGGGATGCAGACCAGAGAAAGACTTTCGTCTTGTTTACATCAGGGTCCCCCATTTCCAATTCATCATGTCATTTAAGACATATAAGACATATTTGACATACAGATGGCTTATTTACAATTTACATGCAGGTGGTTTTTTACATACAGATTGCTTATTTACAATTTTCATTTTAGATTTCGTTCTAATACATCCTAACCGGACATTTAAGACATACCAAGTCTACAGATATACAGTTAGTAACAGAGTCTAAAATGCGAGTATATACATAGATGGGGGGGGGGGGGAAGCTGTCCATTGAACGACAGGTTGAGATTTGTACCATTACCGGGGCCAGTTTTGCAATGCTCTCCCCCGAAGGTGCTCTTTAAGAGAGGTTTTGAAGGTAAGTATAGTTTTACTTTCCTTTACAGTTGTGGGAAGAGCGTTCCACCTTGATGTGGCATAATTGCGAAACGTGTATTCCCGGTAATAGTATTTTCCAGAGATGCATGTTTATATTTATTGTAATGTCATTTTTCTTAACACACAATTGTCTCGTTATCAAAGTACAACATCGACTGTCCAACCTCGTTAAGCGTTAATAAAGTAAATAATAGTTGTATGTGGTAAAAATGTTTGTGGTATTAAATGCTAACTTAGCATGATGCTATAAACACGTTGGCCTATAGTCCCGTTTGCAACCAGGCCTACTCTACTGTTGTAATAACGTTAAGCTTAGATAGGTCAATAGATTATCAGGCTCGGTAACAATACTGATTTGTGTTACCAAAGCTGATCATCTAATTGACCTAAGGTTAGCGTATGCTGTGATGCTAACCAGCACTTAGCATGATGCTAGTGTACTGTTGTGTACTGTTGTATTATCTTGGAAATATAAGTAGGCCTGCCCTACATACTGTAACTTAATCAAATAATATGGTATGGATTTGGATAGACAACATGGCTAGCTTGGTTGGTTGAATTGAGTAATAAGATGTGCGGTACTGATTAAGGTTGTAACTGTAACAGTTTTGTAACTACTAGTTGTAATGAACCAGACGAGAGACGGACGCATCCTTTCAGTAAATGTCGGCTGCTAATCAATATGTAAAAATAACACTTCGGATGTGTCTTCTATAATTATGTAACATTAGTTATGGCATCATCAGAAATGTGGTAAAGTAATATGATTTGAGAAGAGTCACTGGTCATCTAACACATGCTTAATAGCTCACCTAACACTATTAAAGACAGGTTAAAGAATGTAACATAATAAAAACTTCCTAATATCGACGGCCACTAGTTATATTATACAAATTATGTGACCCCTTGAGCTGCATAAACTAATAAGCAATCCAATTAAAATATAAATATCAAAGCTCATTCAAAAACGTTCCTGTCATTTATGTGATATGAATGGTTACTGTTGAAAGTGCAAATAAAAACAGTTTGAATAGTAAACAATTCCTAATTTTCTTCCAGATTCACCCAACTGTTTACAAGGGGGATGCCCTTATAACACCCCTTTGTGAAGGCACTAATAAATACAAGTGCAAATTCTGCAGCAAGGTGGGGGACTATGGCCATATTGCGGCACATCTGCAGACCCATAGGAGAACGGCTGTTAAACATGGAGGTATTTCTTAATCTAAATAAATATTGCAGATCTTCCAAAATGTACAAATAGTTGACTAATTTTAGTTAGTCTAACCAATTAACTATTACTAACTAATATTATTCTAACGTGAATTTGAATACAATTTACATTTTTATATTCCCTTAAGAATTAAGTCATTTGTAAACTGGATTTCTCTTTGTAGGATTCGCAATGTACAGGTGCAATGGGGTGTGTTGCAAATCGCCACATTTCCACTGCTGCTACTGTGGGGAGTTCAGAACCCAGCCCACTATTATGAATCATGTTCAGAAGTGCGCAGTGGCAGCCTGCAGTGTTGGATCGCTTCGCCAGAGTAAGTGATGCATATGAACACACCAGAAGCAGTGGCCATAACCTTATTCCCCCTAAACACAACTTAAACAAAACATGGGAAAAATGTATTATACAACTATACTGCTATAATGTAATCTATCCACTGTCTCCCCACCAGCCGCCACTGTCTCCTCCTCAGCCTCCACGGTGGCCTCCTCAGCCTACCCTGTCACCTCTGCAGCCTCCCAAATTGCCACAGCATCTGTAGCCTCCACTCCACTCCAAGCCATCAGTCGCAGCAAAGTAGTCCAGTCAAGGGCCAAAAGGACAACATGCCCTTTGTGTAAAACTGAATTATATATGAAAAACCTCAAGACCCACATGGATCGACGTCACTCATCATCTGTTCCTGATATTACTTCTAATCACCATCTTCCATCCCAATGCTTAGACCTCAAAAAGGGCATTTTTGCTGTTGGAAGAACATTTTCTGGGCTGTGAAACCCCATTCATGTACAGAAGTTCACCTGGGGAAACAGCCACCAAGTTGTTTGTGAGCTTGAAAATTGCAAGCAGGCATCAGAATTTTCCAGAAGAAGTAACTTATTAGGGTTTGAGTGTATTCATGTTAGGTCTCTGATATACTGTCCTACTTCATCCACACCAGACGTCACACTGAAGGAGGAAGTTCTGTCAGATATGGTTGGGAAGAAATGGATTTCTGACAACACAAAAAGAATGTGTCTAGTCAGAAAGGAGAAAGCTGAGTCTGAAAACAGCCCACTGAGTAAAGTGGTGACATTTTGCAGTGGCGCATCAAGAGTTTATGTGTCAGTACTTGAAACATGCACCTCATATTATTCGCGGTTAGGGAGAGTGTCTGTATGTTATGACATAAAAAGAAATGCTTGGCAGTGTCCATGCTCAAAGCCAAAGAATTCCTGTGCTCATAAGTCCATAGCAAAATGGCACTTGAATCAGACCCGACCTGAACTCTTCCTAAAGGTCCGAAGTACAGACAGTGATGTGTTTGAGACCTTTGTTGAATCTGATCCTGAAGGCCACAGTACTGAGGACATTCTCTATCCACCTGAGGGAGCCGCTTTGACATCACTTGTTCTTTACTTGTTGGACCACAAGAAATTACCAGCTGTTCTGTCAACGGATGCATGTTCACCGCAGAACATGGAGACACTGCCAAAGCGCCTCATACCTCTTGAGAACGTTTGCACTGTTTGCCCAGGAAAAATTCGTCTGTCGGATCCTATGCCGATAACTCATAAAGCCAACATAGTGACATTCACTGGCATAGTAAAGGGTATGTTTAGTTTATGAATATATTAGTGATACTTCCGCTGGCCATCCATATGCTACAGTAAATGTTATTTTGTTAAGTATAGCAGTCATTCACTATTCATTTATATGCTGTATATTGTCTTTTTTACACACACGCACTATCGTATACACACACAGATATATAGACATCTGTAAATCCCATCACTAATACTTTCTTGTATTTTCTCAGATGTGTCCACGTACTGTAAAAGGTGTGGGCTTTGTGGACATTTCTACCGATATCAAGAATGGACAAATGTTTGTTTAATAAAGACTTTCCTCTTTGTATGTACTGTATATATTTTTTAATTAATCTTACCACCAGACACAACATGAACAAATGAATGATACACATCAGGACAGTAACTTCAACTTCAGTATTATAGGTGTACAGAAACCTCTACTCATGTTGTTAAATGATATACAGCAATATCTTCCATACAATGTAGTTGATTGATTTGAATAATAATTACTACCACTGCACAAACAGTGAAAAATGATATGCCTACAATTTATGAATTTGTCTTCTCTGTGGGTTGTATACTCTTCATTCTTTATGCAAATTAATTATAATTATTATTTTTCAAAGTTCGTTTGATTCATTTAAAAACAGAGAGCGTCATATACCTTTAAGAAATACGTGGGGGGCGGGGTTCATAACCCTTTAGGAAACGCCCCCTATAGGATCCGCCTCCTTGCTGCGGTCTGACTAGTGATGGGAATTCCGGCTCTTCTTGGTGAGCCGGATCATTTGGCTCGGCTCACCAAGAAGAGCCGGCTCTTTCGGCTCCCAAACGGCTCTTCAGTTTACCACTTATTATACCTTTTAATTAAATCAAATGTAGCCCTGTTTTGACTAATGATTTATATGTGTACACATATATCAATTAAATTAATCAATACATCCTTTGTACTGAAGTATTCAAAAGTAAAAATTACATGTTTAATATAAATGATTTGCTGTGGCCAATTGTTTTCATTGCATTTACAGACACGTGCAACTCTCTGATACCACCCAATGAATGCATTGACTTGCTTGTAGAACCACGCTACACAAAACAGATAGCAACACCTATAAAACTATTTTAAAAAAGGGGCTACTGTATCGACCTATATAAAGTATATAAATATTTGTTTTCTTCTTCAAAATACCAAAAAGATCCTGCATTTTAGCCATGCCTCATTTCGCTCTATTTGCTCTTTCCAGAGCTGTTTTTGCAGAGGGCTGATTCTGTGAGCTGCAGCTGACCACGCCCCCCTGCAGGAGAGGGGAGCGTGCTCTGAGATCAGCTGCTGGGCTGTCAGAAGAGGGGGAGAATCTCCGTTCTCCGTGTTTTATTTTTATAGAAGTAAGAAGAGAAGTAATGGGGCAGAAACCCTCCTTTTTACGCAGCGGTCCAGACATAGACATCAAACGGCGACACATATTCAGTTGCCAGTTACTTTGGCATTAGGGCAGGGATATCTAGATACTTTCCAAGGTTTGACATAATGAATTGTGCTACTTTTAAAGCAAGCAACGATGTTTTCAAATCTGTAATCAAAAAGCTCCTCAAAAACACTATCGAAGCAGTTCCTGCCGTTGCTACGTTAGTTCAAACAGTAACAACGGACTACTTTTCTTAGCGGATGCATGTCAATTTAAATCAATACATAAAACTATTTTTTAAATCAATAAAATCATTTTCTAAATCCATAAAAGCATTTCCATTAATATTGGGAGTCATGTCGTTACTTTGTTGAGAATGTGGCCATGTAATAAGCGGGATAATGTGCACATTGCATAATGTGCCTTCATGCCGATCTCTCCGCAAAAATGGCTCGTTCGCTGGCTAGATGTTCGCCTGGGGCGCCAGATCTGGGGAGGTGCTGCGCTGGCAGTTCTGGGAGGGAAAAAAACATTTTAACCGTTGGGGCTCATCCTAATTTTCGGCCTTGATGTAACAATATTCATAATTAAGTAAATGTAACACCCTTTTCACCCCGGTTACACGTTTCATTTGCCCTGTACGATGGGCGCTGTAAGTGATGAAAATGGGGGATGTTGGCTTATCTGGCGCCCGCAGCTCACAGCCAAAATGCGCAATATGGTCTAGCTGCGGCCGCGGCCAGTACACGGCGGTACACGATGGTACACGACACGCCCACCTGAGAGGCATGGCAGATGAAAAGCGAATTGACGACAACTACGCCGCCTACGGTGGAGACCGTACATGGCATGTTATTGTAGCATTTTAAGCAACTAAATTAATAACCTATCCGTTTTAAGCAACTATTAGGCGTTTTAAGCAACTATTAGGCAAATGAATTACTAACCTATCCGTTTTAAGCGACTATTAGGCGTTTTAAGCAACTAAATTAATAACCTATCCGTTTTAAGCAACTATTAGGCAAATAAATTAATAACCTATCCGTTTGAGAACCCCTTGGAAACCCTTATCCCATTTTGATGGTTGACATCTCATTTGAACAGTGAAAGCAAGAATATTGTAAAAATGCTTACCAATGATGTATTAATAATGGGATATATATAGCGCCTTTCATGAGACCCAAGGTCCCTTTAAAAAGAAGAACAGGAGTAGAAACAAACATAACAAAAGGCAGTCAGACAAAACAACAAATAGATTTGGGGCCAAAGGCCTTGGCAAACAGATGGGACTTGAGGGCCCTTTTGAAGGCATCAAGCGTGGGGATGTTGCAGATCTCCGCAGGGAGAGCGTTCCAGAGAGTGGGGGCTGCCATACTGAAGGCTCTGTCCCCGAAGGATCGCAGGTTGGTGCGGGGGGCCAGAGTCTGAAGACCGCAGGTTCCGGGGTAGAGCATGTGGGAATTGTATTGATTGAGCCAGTGTTTCATCGTGTACTTTCAACTGCAGTATATGGTCAGGCAAGTTCAGCATTCACTGTGATGTATATAAAATATGACACTGATACCGTTTTCCTCAATGAACATTTATTGAACAGAACATCAAATGGAAAATCAGAGCTGGTCAACTTAAACAAATATTGAATAAATAATAAACTCCTCGGAATCTTTCACAAGTCCTTCAGCCTTTGGTGCGCTTCCTCACTCATGTTCTTGGCGAGGTCATGAGAACAAAGTTCCATCTTACTGATAAGACTAGATGGTATAAAGAACTCATATGTAATATTATAAAATCACATGCATCAGGGGTTGTACACTTTAATGTGTCCATTCACTAACCGACTCTTTAGGAAGGAAGCTGTAAGGCCTCTTGTTATAGGAGTGGTCCTCATCAGTGTCCAGGGGCATCTGTAGACAGTCAACCATTATTTTGACAGTGCTTTACATGCACGGTTTAACTCCTCCAAAAATGATCCAGGCTCGATTCAGAATGACACAGTACCACACAAAACAAATGTTGCATGTACCATAAGTTCTATGTAGTATGTGTTTTAGGAGTAGTAACCCATTCTGAAACAGGCACACAGGGTCATAGATACGTTGAGCGATACACTGACCATGGTGCTGCTTGCATGCGTCCTTTTACGACTGATCCTGAATGTACGTGGGACATTGTCGCTAAGGGTCGCCCTGCCTTCCTCACTATAGTGAGCAAACCTCTTTCCATACCTGCAATTAAGACACATTTTCTTCACCAGAAGGTTGAATTTTAGAGCCAGGTGTTCCCCCCAAATCTTCTTGATAATACAATTACAAATTCAAATGTTTTTGTAGCACTGCAGCATACCCTTCCAGTCCAAAGTTTTCCACCAGGATAACACACCACCACCTTCTCAGGAGAGACATGTCATGCTAAAGAAAGAGCATCAATTTTCATTAAGTTTGTTATAGCATTTTAATGTGACTTCTTTCCTTAATACTTACAATGCTGAAGTCAAAGCTGGCCTCCATGGCAAAATACCAAGCATACTATAATGAGAATTTTATTAGGACATGCAAGACATAATGTACACGTGACGGCTGGGTGTGACCCGGTCCTTTCACAAAATGGACACTGGAAGGTGTCCGAGTCCAATTTGTTGAGCTCTGGGCGTGCTCCATCACGGAGTGTTGTGTTGTTTGTCTATAGGTGAATAAAATAGAATACAATTTAAGTGACTTTAATATTGGAAATAGTTAACTCCTTAAACAAGCAGCAATGGACTGGCCTGTATAATCCTATGGGACAAAGCTGGTCATACTTCCTCACTTTCAGAAGGTAACCCTTTAATGCACAAAACAACCTCTAGATTTCACTGTGGTTCGAACAGAAAGCCCTTCAGCTAGTTTAAATGTCAGGCCTACAGCATAAACCCCATCTAAAAACAGAGGCTCTGTCCTAATTACCTGATTGCATCCACCTGGGTTACTTGGCTCTACCCAATAACTACCATTTAACTTTAAACCACACTTAAAATAATAATTATACATATTTACATGTCTACAGTATAAGAGCTAATACATGTTTTAAATAAAAAACATTCAAATGTGAAAGACACCTTCAATTAATATTTAAAACTTACATAAAATCAGATTCTTGTAAAAATTAGAGTACATGCATGTTCAGTTAGCATATATGCTAAGTTAACTGAACGTCGAGCATGTCAAGCTAAGATATATATATATATATATATATAGCAAAATAAACACAATTACACTGCGCTAAACAGCGACAAACAAACGAGAACCTAAATAGTATGTAATTATATCTAAAACCACAATACGTTAAGTACCTGTACTCGGTGCACCATGTTGTTTGTTGTCTGTAAACCTGACGTGTTGGGCGTGCTCTCTTCTGACCATATTTGGAAGTACAACTTTTCGCGGCCGCAGCTAGACCCTTCTCAGGCACCGTAGTGTCGTGTACCATCGTGTACCATCGTGTACTGGCCGCGGCCGCAGCTAGACCCTTCTCAAAATGCGAGTGAGCGAGGGAGAGAGGGAGGGTGCACCGGTAGCCTACCAGCGCTGTTGTTATTAGAATCTGGTGCCGTGCTAGCTGCTCTAACGGATATAAGAAGAAGATGTTTCTACAATAATGTGGAGGGAGAGTCCTCTCCAGTCAGACTGAGAGGCTGATAAGTTAACTACAGCTCAGTGAGGTAAAATACTCTCAAGTTCAAACGGTTTAGCAGCAACACACGGAGTTAACTACATTATACAAACATGGGTTAATGATTAGAGGTAACTGAGTTATTTATTTTGTTAAAGTTTCAGCTATTCTGTTTACAGTTCTGTCATCAGATTATTTAATATGATTTGTTAAAACATTGTTGTTTCTTTTGATGTGAAATATTATTTATTTAATTTAAATAAAAAGCAAT